GTTGACTGGTGGTATTATTACCCAAACTGGGCAAGGTATGTTCTAACTTAATACCCTAAGCCCTAAACCCTAAACCCTACCCCCACAGGGTTCCCCTCGTATGTCCACGCTCCGCCTTGTCGAAGGCCTGGAGGAGGTCCACATGCAAGCGGGGCTCGTAGCCAGAAGTCATCGAACGCATCTGAAGTGGCTTACGGTTGAGGGCTGAAGGTTTGGGACGCGGTTTAGGGTTTAGGGTTTAGGGTTCAAGGTTTAGGGTTCAGGGTTTAGGGTTCAGGGTTGAAGGTTTGGGACTTGGGGTTTAGGGTGTAGGGTTTAGAGCCAGTGGTGCGACCAGTTCTCCGGCGAATTGCACTCGCCAGCTCTTGTTCTGAGAGTTGACATCTGGCATGATGGGGGAATGTTTCAGTAGCGTATGACAATCAAGACCCATATGCCCACGCCTAGTATCAAGCATCATGTTGAAAGTAGGGTTCGGGAGTAGTTCCTAAGCAAACCTGAATAGAGGAATCCCAAACTCAGATGTACCATTAGCATGCCCTAGGTTGTTCCAGACAAAGACTGCTGAAACATGAAATTGTGCATCTATACAGCAACTTCCGCTGCCATACATGAGATTTTGAGCAACAAACCCTTTGTTTGGGACAGACAACACAGGCGGCGGTTGTTGACACCAACTCCACAAAGTGTGTGAGGCATGTGTTGGGAGGGCACAAAGTCATCATCGATGTTTAAATGAACCTGCTCATCCATAGTCCAAGCATGCAATGAAAAACACTCCTCTGTCCTGGCAAGAACACGAAAGCACAGAAGGGTGGATCATGTCTAAGAAACAATTCAAAGCATGATCTTCCGGACTATGTGGAAGGCATCATATAAACGTGTAAAATATTCGTAGTGGGCTGTCTGGCGAATATACTGCAGCACAAATCTCGACACATATGATGATTGAATTAACAATTTTGTGGCATTCATTCTCATGATAGCAATTGCCAGAAGTGGTGAATGATAGCAATTGTCAGAAGTGGTGAAAGTCGGGGCGCTAACACTACTTGCTTCTGTTTCTTCTAATACTTGAATTCATTCCCAAAGCCGTTTTGAAATTTTAATCAGCCCAAAAGCTCTAAATGCTTCAACCCCGAGGCGGCCACACACTGGTGAAAGTGCTCGAGATCGTTGCCGGTGGTTGGGACACCCATCCCTCCAACCTCGTCCAGGGCAGCAAGGCCCGTTATCCAAAGCCGTGGCGATAGCAACAGGCAAAATTCAGCAGCGATTAATATTCGTCCGGAAGCCCGTCCAAATCCCATACCCCTGGCACAGCACAGCGTAGGCTCCTCACATCTATGAACGAGGCCGAGTTCGCGCTCTCGTCATAATAGATGTTCGCTGGCTGGCAGTCACCGTGCTGTTGATGGCCGTAACCTCAAATGATGTTGTCCACACTAGTAAGGCATGACCGCAAAACTTCAAACCTGCACGTCAAACGGCGCCATACTCCGCAACTCGACCGACTCTGAGATTCAGGTTTGTAGTGTAAGCACGTGCAACAAGATAACATATGCGTGAGGTTGGCCCGTGGGAAAGCTAGGGACAGAGTGCCTACAAAGCTGCAGTGGCAGTAGTGCAGCAG